TCTCATATTGGGGGATACCCTGGCAGCCCACCAGGCCCCTTCTTGGTAAGACAGTCCAGACTTCTACAGCGACCTTCAGGGGGAATATGTATGTTTTGTGCAAAATTAACTGGAAGGACGAGGAGGCCATGTGGTTTAAAACCAGACATATACTGAAGGGTAAAATTTGGTGACAGCACTACAAAGGAAGGGCCAAGTACTTGAGGCACTGTGAAGGAAAAATAATATAAGCTAGTAAAAACAGAAAACCCATTTAAAGAAATTATGTATCTGTGAGCTTTATGAAGGCAGGGTCTACAAATAATTTAGTACTGTATTCCTTATATCAAATAACGGCACAATGGTACTTAACCTTTCCTTGAGCTAAGATTCTCTTTGAAAAATATGAGAGAGGGATGCCTGGGTGGCTCAGTCGGTTAAGCATCTGCCTTCGGCTCAGGTCATGATCCTGGGGTCCTGGGATGGAGGCCCCGGATCAGGTTCCCTGCTCAATGGGGAGTCTGCTTCTCCCTCTGCCTGCCACTCCCCTGCTTGTGCTCTCTCTCTCTGACAAATAAATCTTAAAAAAAAAAAAGAAAAATATGAGAGAAACTAGGTACCCTACTTCATTCTAAGAGTGGGCACTTAGCAAATGTTGGTGAGATTAAATTAAATTGTGTACATAGTGTTATGTCTTTTTTTCTTTTTCCTTCACTGAATGGCATGGCTAACTTTCTTAACTTTGATGGATACAGTTATAGACCTCTTTGCTAGAAAAACAAACTCAGGGCTTCCTGTTTAGGGAAAAAAAAAAAAGACCTATTGCACCTAACTTCCCTTCCTCCCAATGTTTTCCTGCAGTAATATAAAAGATGTTAAAAATAAGAATGAAATCTTAACAGTGCTACAGAGAGTGACAGTGGCAGATCAGATATCTTGTGAAATTCTTCAAAGATAAGCAGATAAGATTGAACTGATGAAGAAGTCAAAATGGGGAAATTGTAGTCAGACCCTCAAGAGATGAACGTGATTCATTCTGAGGGAGCCACAGATAAGGTTGGAGCTTCGCTCATCACATTGTAAGTATCATCTAGAACTAATGATGTAATGTATGGGGATTAACATAAGAATAAAAAATAAATAAATAAATAAATAAATAAATAAAAAGAAAAAAAAATATTCCAAGCAAACGAGAATCTTAATGCAGTTATTCAAGAAGATATTTGTTGGGAAAACAGATATACATGACTAAAAGGGAAATTAAGACCAGCCATCCCTACTAATCCATAGAATTCTTCATTTGTATGATTCCTGAATATTTGAGAAAAACCCAGAGCATGAAAGAGAAAGTCCAAGATTAATAAATTAAAACTGAGCCCCGAGAAACAGAGGTAATTTAGGGAGCAGAGGAGAACTTGAAAAAAATTCCAAGTAGGATTTTTTTTAAGATTTTATTTATTTATTTGAGAGAAAGCGTGCACAAGCGGGGGTGGGGGGCGGGTGGAGGGGCAGAGGGAGAGGGAGAAGCAGGCTTCCTGCTAAGCAGGGAGCCCGACAAGGGGATTGATCCCAGGATCCTGAGATCATGACCTGAGCCGAAGGCAGATGCCCAACCAACTGAGCCACCCAGGCGCCCCCCAAGTAGGATTCTTAAGGATTCAAGAATAGATTACATTCATAAAATAAGTGGCCATTATGAAAAAGGAGCAATCAATAAATAGGAACGTATTCTTAGAAATAAAAAAAGAACGGAGTTGCTGAAGACTAAATTAGTGTTCTGGAAAATAAAATTTCCTAGGATGTAGAGAAATATTAAAAAGCTGGAAAACAGGTGAGAGAAGTTGAGCATGGAGGATAAATCCAGGAATTTCAAGTTCAAGAATACAATTTTCTTGAGTCAAAGACAAGTATAAGCCAGATTTAATTAGACAGGAAACAGATACACATGCCTATACACATTCTAGTGAAATTTCAGAATTCCATGGATGAAAAGAATATCTTAAAAAGATTTAGAAAAAAAAAGAAGAGAAAGAAACAACACCAGATTACTTACTTTGGATGAGAATGATACCAATCAGACTTCTCATCAGCAGTCCTGTATGTTAGAAGACAACAGAATACTACATTCACATTCTGGGGCAAAATGGTTTTCAACCTGAGATTGTATACCTTGCTGACTGATAGGTAAGTGGAAGGGCAAAATACACACATATTTGGACATGACAGAATCAGAAAGCTTAGTGCTCAAGTATCCTTTAAAAAATTACTTCAAGAGGGGCACCTGGGTGGCTCAGTC